TTTATTTTTTTCAAATGACAATTTTTTTTCATATTTTCTATTTTTTATTTTTTTTTCATTTCTATTTTCCAGTTTTATTAATTACCATCTTCTCAAACTGCGTTTTACAGATCGGTGAGAAGCAAAGACGCATTTCTATTTTTATATATATTCTTCATTTTCATTGGTCAACATCTGAAAAAGACAAATAAACAAGAACAGATTCGATTATTAATCTTCTTTTCAGAAAATTCTATTTAAAAAAAAGAAATAAGAGCGATATTCTGCCAGGGCAGTTAGACTTCCTGAAATCAGGATATATTTTCTCCAAACAAGAAAATTTTTTACCAAGTCCAACTGTTTTACAGCACTGGCAGATTATTGGCTTCTTCTAAGTAGAATTTTCTCAAAAGGAGATTAATAATCTAACAGAATCTACTTTTGCTTAATAAATCAATATCAAAACAAGATCTAAGACGGTGAGACTTTCAGTGCTGCTGAGCTTTGCACCTCAAGTTAATAAGGGAAAATAAGTCATGTGGAAAGGATTAGAAGGTTAGGAAGGAGCTAGGAGCGGGATGTAGGATGCTTCCTATATCCAATACAGTTAGCATAGGAACCTTCTGATGTCTCCTGACCTTCATGTGTTTTGGTTTTTATAACAAAGAACTTCAGTAGTTCACTACGTTTGGCTAACTCTGCTTTTTTGTAGTTTGTAATTTGACCAGCGTCATTCATGAGCATCTCTGTCACATAACGACGTTCGTTTAGCTCCTTTCCTGCCCGGAACAGAGATCTAACTATTGACCCCATTAGAAGTGAAGGGATAGGAGTTAGGAACAGAAGGCAGGAGATACCATTTGATTTAGTGAGCCCTTGACTCAGTCTAGTTTTTACTTCCTGTTGCTTCACTTTTCATGGAGTCAACAGTAAGACCAAGATCCAGGTTAGGAAAGGAGGTCTGGGCAGCTGTTTTAAATCCTTAGATACTCCATAATGGGAAGATAACTTACGTTAATGATGCTGGTCAAATGGGGATAACAACCTTCAGAGCTAAGATAGGAAGCATCCTGCTTCCTCTTCCTACCTCCTTCCTCACTGCCAGAGTCAGAACATTGTTATAAGGCTGGCCAGGCAGTAGCCAATGAATTAATGAGAAAAACATCCATATTTTCTAAAAAAAAAAGACAAATTATACTTTCCCACATCCTTTGCTAACAATTAGACACGTATATTTAAAAATATGTAATTTCTAGATAAAAGGTATGATGGATAAAATTCTTTCAGTTTTGAGTTCTGGGGCATAAATCTTTTCCATTGTGATTACTTACCTACTTGTGTCAATAAACATTCTGCATAAACATTCTGCATAATAATAATTAATTGATATTTAAAAGCACTAATATCTAAATAAATTGATTATTTGATAAGTTTTTATTAAAATTGTTATTTATCTATGATTTCAATGACTTGCAGAGACGCATCATTTTCTCCTTACCCCATTTAACACAAAATCTAATCTAATAATTATGTACTTATCATCTTTGATGTTAGTAATTGATGTGTATAGTTAACCAAAAAAAAAAAAAGTAAATTAATTGAATATTCCACTCCAAAGTTTTACTGCTGCCGCCATCTGTATTAGATGTAAATAAATGGTAGGGTGGCCAATGAGTGGGTAAGGGTAGCCATGGCCGCCCCGGCCCCCCATTTAGCTCCGCCCCTGTGCCAGCCGGAGTTGTTCTGTACAGATTGATGCAGTCTGCAGGATGAATACTGATGTCTGTTGCTGTTTGTAGCCCGTCTCATCATCGATCTGACCTCTGACCCCCCCATCACTGACCTATAACGCCCAGCAGCTTGGCTGCGTACAGACTGAAGCCGGTGCAGAAGGCGTTCCACAGCGTGCCCACCACGGCGTACGTCAGGATGGATCCCAGGTTGTCGAAGAAGAGCCGAGCCGGCATGAAGTAGCCGGCGTCCCCGACGATGGTCGGCAGCAGGAAGAGGAAGAAGAGGGAGGGGTCCAGCTGGTACAGCTGCTTCTTACTGGCTATGAGGACGATCCCGCCCAGAACCAGACCCAGCAGGATCAGCATGCAGCTTTCTGGGACCACGGTTGTGAACCGCTGGGAGAAGTGGAACACTGCAGGACAAGAAACCTCAGTGAGACACAGATTTATCCTTCAAGGACCAACATCAGCTTAGAGTGGATCAGAGGATGATTTCCTGGTCAGCAGAAGTTCCTCTATAGCAGAGGGTTACGGATTCATTTTGTTTCCAAATTTGACCTTTTTTTACAGATTACATATTTCCACATTGCCTTTTTTTACAAATCGGATTCTTTCCAAACTGCATTTTTCAGATCACATATTGTTCACTTTTGGAAGCGGAATTCATTTAGTGAAGAAGGAAGATTAATTTCTATTTGTCTGCACCAGAGATGGGAAGTAACAAAGTACAAATACTTCGTTA